CAGCCTGCCCTGCTTAAGGAAACACTCTCTCAGCTGTAATGAAAAGCCGAAACTGCCTGTGCCCTTGAGCTGAGCTCAGAGATTGTTCAAGTCCTCCCTGTCAGATTTACGGGCCGCGAGAACACAGCGTAGATTGAATCTGCGGCTGCTGTCATGCAGGATGTCTCTTAGTCGCTCATTTGTATTCACACAGGTGCCCGGGCAATCTCTTAATCAAATACTGCTCACCTGCTCTCGCGTAACGGCATCGACGGAGATTGTTCTGTTCCAGGAGTGATGCTCTGCCTGCCAAAGATTGTGTTTCGGTATTAGTGCAGGGAGGAAATGTATTCTCTCGTTCCTTTTCTCAGGCTGTATTACCACATCGCTCACCTCTTCTGCATTAATTGGACGGAGAGTAGGCTGTAGTTTAACATGGACAACCGCTGTCCTCCCAGCTATCCCTATTCCCAAAGTTAAAAGTTCCTTTGCACAGTCTCTTGAATAATCCCAGTCAAGAGGAAAATTGCTAATACACTATAGTTCAGCTTGTCGCGACTAAATGGAAGCAGCACAAGGGCTAAACAGTTATTTAGCTTTTAAACTAAGCTCATCCCAGTGGACTGACTAAGTTTTGTCTGCGCTGGTCCGGTTTTAATGACTCGTCCACGTCTCCAGAGACAAAGAGCTCAAGGGCAAGCTGAGCTGAGGGGTCTATTTATAACTAAAAAAGACACTCGGAGGTAATTTAGCACTGCTTCATTAATATGAATGAACCCAAACTGAGTCAGAGGTGCCCTGAGGTGGTGATGATTGTATTCTTAAAGGATCCAGTGTGGATGGATAAAACTGCTGCTAAACTCAGCCACATCTTTGCCGAAGGAGCCGTTCAATTAAATGGACTTGCAAACTAAACCTCTTACTTTAAAAATCTGGACATTGGACCTGCACTCGCCATCACCACCAGTGAACACAGGTGTCACCAGGACTGAAATCTTAAGGATTGCAACTTTAATTTTGTTCATTCTTATTTTTTATGTAATTAAATTTATATTTTCATTTGCTTTTTACAATATGATACTTTCCACTGAGGCCATATGTGATAATTATTTTGATATTGAGTTATTCTATACTTCTTCTATTCACATAGATAAACCCACTCTGAGGTTTTGTCACAGTGAAGATCGTTACCATTTTGTGCCACCTTTGCACAGGTGGAAACCTCCGGGTCTGAAAAGTAAAGCCAATTAACTTGTATTCTCTCCAACTCAATACACATTGTAAAGATGAGTTTATGGTCTCAATTGCTAGTTTCAAGTCTTCTTTAATACAGCATGATGTTCATTTAGTAAATTATGGTCCATTTAGAATAGACGATGAAGCCGGATATGCTTTAGGGCGTGACTACCGTGTGATTGACAGGGCACTACTACAATGTTATCCGGTCTGGGAGTTTTCTGTGTTTTCATCTTACTAATTTGGACCTTTTATAGTGTGTTTTAAGTTCATTTTGGTTGCCTAAAATGTCTTATTCAGCGGTGGGCTGTACTGAGTGCTCACACCCTCTCGTGTCACTTTTGGTTGCACAAAAAACAGCAGAAAAGCTCAAAAGGGTGATCCACAAACCACTGAGTGACTTCACTGACTATGGCAGCCTGTTATAGAGTCTATTCCTTTTCAACATTAAAAGCCCCACGAGTCGAGAGGTTGGCCAGTACTCTTTGTTGTTGTTGTTGTCTTTGAATTTGTCTCTGTGCTCACTCATGATGCCGCATACAGTTTACAGTATCAATTAAGTCCCAACTGGCTATTGCTTAGCAACACAGCCTCTATCTCCTCCATCTCCAGGCTCAACTTTTTAACAGATACACATACAATCAAGTCCGTCAGCCACACACAAGCTCACACACATTTGTTTCATATATGACTAATATAATGACTGTAATCAATCAGAGGCTCAGTGTGTGTCTGTCGGGGGTGTGGAGGGTTGGCGTTGTTCGTTTAGAGAGTGCTTTTTAGTGCGTCGCTCTCTCTTTAACGACCCCAGCAGGGGACCAGAGAGAGTAGAGCACACTTAATGATGTGAACCATTCCTCACGTCTTCCTGGAGCCTAATGATAATGATACAGACGTCCCTGTGCACTGGAGAGCGGCTTCATACATCCCGGATTCATTAGTCCATTAGGGAGAGCGAGGAGGGAGAGGAAGGGAAAAGTCTAGGCTCCAAACATAGCACAAAAGTGTGGTGTGTGTGTGTGTGTGTGTGTGTGTGTGTTGACAACAGAGATTTTGTATAATATAGTCTGAGATATCTTGCATTCTTTAAATTCACAAGCTCAGTGCATTAACAATGCAGCAAGAGATTACGTTATCATCTCCACCAGTGGTGGGAGACAAAAAGAAGAGGCTGAGGCTGCAACACTTTCTGCGAAATGACTCGACTTCAGCTCCTGTCATGAAAGTTGCCGCTGCGTGATCCCCAAAGCAGTTGATGCAAAGCTGATACTTTATTTCTGCAACTTTTTGAAGCTGTCGAGGCTAACTCATCTCATCAGACAGGGGTCTGCTCTGCTTTGTCGGCGTGTGCCTCTGTTTGTTTGTGTGGGAAGTATCTGATATTTGTTTTTGTGTATGACCTTGACTGAGCTGAGTTTGAGCAGAAGCAGCGCTGAGAAGCCGACGGACTGAACGCAGTCATAGCAGCTGGCTTGGCAGCTATAAGAGGCTGTCAATCATGACGAGCCATGTGGTGAAGTAGTCTGCTAATGCATTTGAAGGCAATTTCATTGTTTTTGACCAAGTTACTTCTTTTTTTTTTTACCAAAACTGTGACTCTGTCCTTTCTTACACAATCGATGTCTCAGTTGCCTCAAAGCCCTTAAAACCCTTTAAAAGTTTCCAGCCTCTCTGCTCGTCTTTGTCTCTTTGTAAGTTTCAGTGGACTGAAGTTAAATCACTGAGTGAATCAATGCTTTCTACCTTTATTCAGCTGGTTAATCTCATCACACAGAGCCCGACAGGCACAACCCTCTCTGCAGCTGCAGGGCTCCAACTAACAAATACTTTCAATAGAAGGCTACGTATAGATTTGTATTAGTTTATTAGTATTTATTTAGCTATAGCCTGTTATTAGTTGATTCATTCATAAAGTTGTGTCTGAGTCAAAATAATATTTATTATTATAAGTTTGGATTTGTCTTGAAAGTTAAAAGTAACTAATAATGAAAATTCATAAATGGAGGTATTGCAATTATAATAGATTTATACATCAAGCAACTAGTAAATCATGTAAATCAAACTATCTTTTAAGGCAAGATTCTAAAGTTCTTTTGACATAAAAATAGAAAATCTATAAAATATTGTCATTTATAGTGTTATGCATTATGCAAGTTTGCTGCAGTGGCAGTAAAAACCTTGTTCAGTATATGTTACAGTAGGGGTTTGCCACTGTTGCCCCCCCAGACATCCTCTCAGTGTGCCAAATTAACTATAAAGAGTTCCTGTTTGCTATTTACTCAAAAATGTCCAATCAAGATGTCATTGGATTGCTTTGAAACTCAGAAAAATGTGATAGTTCTTAGGCAAGTTCTGAAGCTATACAGTCAGGAGTGTCTTTTTTTTTTCTATGATTTTTAAGCAGATTTATGATTTGTTCGCATGGACATTGGGTATAATTTTATCCTCTGGAAGTGTAAGTTACGCTGAATCTAAAATGCATGTATGCGTGTTTAAGATTTGACTGAGATATGACTCAGAAAGAGCAGCTTAAATACCTAAATTGCCTCCATTAGCTGCCAGAGCGACCACCATGTTGTTGAGCGGTTCAAATCAGCGGGACAAACAATAAATTACATCCTGTTGTTTTTAGAGCGCCAGTATGTTACTGTCACTTTTTACCTCACTCGGTGTCTTTATTGTTTTCATAGTAAGTTGAAATAAAAGTTATATATAGATGATGCCAGGTCTTGCATTGTTTATAAGGCACTGTCTTATAAACATTGACTCAGAGTCTGCAGGGCTTCGATGCAAAGCTTCAGCCTTGAGTAAAGGAATGCCTCCATGACATGCATTTCTCCAAGATGGTGGGAAATAAAATGTAAGAGGTTACCGGAGAGGTGAAGTTTAGAAGACAGTGAGAATTAAGTCCGAGGAGTGAATCACCCCTTGAGGGATTGTCGGCAACGCTCTTTCTCTACTCTCTAATCTTTTTCTCTGTGCCCGTGTAATTAGCGGTGTCCCTCGTCTCCCAAAGTTTGGATACTGATGTTTTCACTTCAAAATGGAGAATATGTTCCACTTGAGTTTCTGTATTTCAAAGAAATATGTCTAAACAAGATTATTAGTGTCTGAAAAGATAAGATACAGATGCTATTGTCTGGAGACTGATTACATGGTATGGAGTACACACATATAAGACACAAAATGGTAAAGCTGACATATATTTCCTGTATATATTAATCTTGCACGGATCGTCTTCATTAATCAATACAAGAAATATATCCTTTCATCTGTAACATGTCAGCAAATAGGGAAAAAGGCTCATCACTGCAGAACTTTCTGCAGTTTTGAATCTTGTGCCTATTTTTGTTCCCAAACCCCTCAAAAATGTAAATGCACATTTTGTAGAATAGCAATCTCTCCAAAAATAACACTTTTATGCTCGGGCCCTCATCACATTTTGGAGATATGAGAATATGAACATGTTTGCATGTATTTGTACCCTGCAAGCCTTTCGCATGCAATGATTTGTTAACCCAATTTCAACAGTATTATCATTAAAATCATTAACATACATTTTTAATTGAGTTACAGTTAAACAGCTTGGAAGCTCATTAAATTGTGAAATTCATTACAACACATGAAAATATCATGTAATATTTTCACAATAGGCAAGACGATGCAGGTTTATAGGTGTTAAAAAAAAAGTCATTGTACATTTCTTATTTTACACAGGATTTCATTCTAGCTCCATTTTTTTATATTAATTTAATTTTATAAGGTGCTACTGTGTGTGTTTGCAGATATCAACATGGCAGGAGAGCCAAAACCATACAGGCCTAAGATGGGCTCCAAGAGGCCCCTGTCATCCCTCTACAGGTCTGTGTGAAACATGTGTCTCTTGTTTTACTGTGGCCGTCGGCTATTGCTTTGCTGACCTACTTTTCCCACCGTAGTTATATTCTGCTGTCTGGTCGGGTACTTCAGCAGGAACAGCCAATGTCCTAACTGTGCTATCAGTGTGTGTGTTATTACACATTCGCTGATTCTTGACATTTTAGTGGCTTGTTGGAGGCAAAGAAAAAACAGTGCACAGGAAGTGACATGGCCGACATTTTAAAGGCTAAAAGAAGAACAAAATAGCTGATCATTAGGGATTTAAAGGGATTTTTCGGTAAATTAGCGTATTTGCTTTCTTGCTGAGTGTTAGATGAGATGATTGATATCACTCTCATGTGTGTACGCTAAATACTAAATCTGTGTGGAAAAAGAAGTGTAAAAATGATACCGTGGCAGACGGTTAGCTTTGCGTAGCATAAAGACTGTTTCTGCTCTTAGCTAAAGAATATATTAAAAAAGGAAAGAATAACGTCACTGAACCCACATTGGTTCCAAGCCGGTAGTAATCTACATATCTTATTGTAATAGAGCATGTTTGTTATCAATAACTAACCAAACCATCACTCTGATAATGATATTTAATTATATTCAGGAGGGCTAACGTTAGCCAGGTCTCTCGATAATGTTTACTAATATTGTCAGGAGGTGGACGCTAATCGCCAAATTTGATATAAATCTGGACTTTTATACATTTAACACTGTAACAGGGAACTTGTTTTATCTTCACAGTGGCTATGAGTTTGACTATGACTACTACAGAGACGATTTCTACAGCAGGTATGTAAAGAGGCGTATCTGATGGTAAATAACACTTTGGCTGAACTGGTTCTTTTCCTTCACACCGTTTTTTTTTCAAACCCCATTTCTCCTGGTATTTTGCCTTTCACTGTTCAGCCTCCTTTCTCCACTTTTCAGATACAGCTACTTAAAAAAAGATGAGTTTTGAACAGAATAGTCCCAATTCCATCTAAGGCTAAGTAACTACATTATCATAAGCATAATGAATGTCATATTGGGGAGGTTTTTATTCCTTTCCGTTGGAATTACTAATGATGCTTTTATCCGCATAGGCGCGTACTGAATGTCAGATAGTCCCCAGGCTGGTCATCTGCACTGGCAAGGCAGAGAATGTATCTTCCCTCTGACATTTGCATTGGCTTGTTTACTTCCTTCCTTCGCAGTAACCCTGATGAGAGTTGAATCCTTAAGCTTTGAGTCGTTATTGCTACTTTGGCAATTTAATGTGTCATAGGCAAGTGGGAACAAGATTTGATTGAATGGCCGCTGCGTTTAATATGTACCTCCATCTATCGTTCAGCATGTCTATTAGGGGCTTTGTAAATGTTTCTTGTTGATAGAGTAACAATATCTAAACATGTGAGTGACTCCTGGAAAAAAATAAAAACACACCAGCACACTTTGCTGTTCAATGGCTATAATAAATCCAGAAATACTTCTCCCTGCTTGTAAAAAGATTACTTTTTCTGCACTGTAACTCCTCTTGTAACATTTCTGTTCAAAGATTGCTGCAACTTTATTTCTCATGTGTCTTCAGACTCTTTGAGTACCACGGTCGTGTCGTGCCCCCGACCCGTGCTGCAATCCCCATCAAACGTTCGCGACTAGTCGTCCCGTCCACACGCAGAGCCAAATCCTCCTTTCCCGTCAGGGCCTGTTCTTCCTCCTCCTCCTCCTCTTCCTCCTCCCGAGCGCTCAATGTCGGCTCCTCCATCACAGTACCTAAACGTATGTTCTCTTTGTCACTTTTTTCTGCTCTGTTTAAAGGGAGATTCAAGTTTAGTACAACTTAGGTCTTTTAGTTTTGTCATTTCTAGATTGTGATAAGAATATTCTCACCAAAATGATTCGTGAGATCTGAAAACTTGGCAAAACACTTTAGCAGCAGGGCAATCAGACAGGTTCAGGGTTGCAACTTATATTTATTTGTATTTATCAATTGATTAGTTTTTTTGATTAGTTCATGAATCATTTCATCTGTAAATTATCGGAAAATAAGGTAAAATACCCATCACAATTTCCCTGAGCCCAAGGTGACGTCTTCATTGTTTTGTTCAAAGAAAAGCAGTAAATCTTTAAATTTACAAAGCTTGTTTTGCATTTCATCCTAAAATGTCCAAGTGTATGTATGTAAATGTAAAAGGTATCGCTCATAGTGAGGAACCTAAAGACAGATATCATCTGACCCTGTTGTTCTCCTCCGCTCCTTGTAGCATTTTAGTGTTTTTTTTATTAGATCATTGTTTAGCTCTGCGGCTGTTTTAGTTCACTTTCACTGCTCTGAGGATCATTTTCAGTGGTAGCAGGCAAATGTTCTCAGAGAAAAAGCTCTAAAAACCCACAGTACACTACTGCTCTGCACCAAATGGCAGACAGACTCAGTTGGAGATTAACTCCTGATCATAGTGGAGCTTGTAGCAGCTAAAGAGACAGATATTTTTGAAGAACCAGATGGTGAGAGTGAACATTGGACTTACATTTGCCAGGTGGCCAGAAACAAATAAAAGGACAAACAGTTGGTTATTTACACATCAAGCAGTTACAGAGCAACATCAGCAACACATTTGTTAAATCAACTTTGTTAAGTCAATGTTGTGTTGCCCCCAAGTGGCCCAGAAAATCAATCAATACTTTGACATTTTTGGAAATATACTTAATTGCTTTCTTGCAGAGAGTTTGATGACCTGGCTCCGTCTGTTAGTAACTAAATAGACCCACAAAGCCCCTAGAAAATCTAAAATTAAAAAAATGTCAAAGTACTCTTTAAGTTGGTGAAGACAGCGTTATTATAACTGATGGGAATGACTGCAAAAATAAGATTCAGATTGTATGAAACCTTTTTTTTTATAATTGTTCAACAGTTGCCTTTGCACAGCTCGTAATCTCACTCTTACTAATCAGTATTCTCCACATAATGCAACGCCGTAAAATATATCATTGGCTTTGGCTTCTATTCGAACGCCCGTTCACGACTGTGCCTCAGCTACATTTCTGGCAACGAACTTGGCTACTGAAACTTGCTTGAGCAGTGCAGTAACTGTTGTAGCCGTGTCTGTCTCCTCGTCACACATCACATTAATTATGCTTTTAAACTTTATTTATGTATGCGCACAGTGAAGACAGACCAGCTCCAAACAATCAAGAAGGAGCTGTCACAGATCAAGACCAAGATCGACTCCCTGCTTGGAAGGCTGGAGAGGATTGAGAGGCAACATCGCTCTGACGGCGGTGAGATTCGACAGAGGGGAGGGGAGGGGAGGGGAGGGGAGAAGCATGCATATATAGATGTGCAAATGAAAGACACACACACACACACACACAGCAAAGGGAAACTAAAAAAATACTAAAGCTTTATAGAGTGGCTTGTCTGAAAGAAATCGTTCTGTTAGTGAAAGTAAGATGTCAGTTCAATAAATCCATTACGCTCTGATGTTGACTGCCCGTCTCTCTTTCCTCAGACATGCAGAGGAAACAAGAGGAGATGTGTGAGTGTCTCCATGGTGATGCAGCAGACCGCTCTGGTGGAGAGGAGGCGGAGGGCACCGCCGAGGTGGAGGCAGGGGAGATGACGGACGGCGGTGAGGATGACTTTGAAGATGAAGGCACCAGCGACATGGTGAGCTGGTCAAGTAGACATTTACAGTCTCAATAGGAGTGGGGGAAAAAAGTGTTTTCTTGCATCTCAATGAAAAAAAGCTGAGCTGTTAATCAATGGCTGAATAGCCTCTCAAGCTGCCTGGCCATGGTAAAGCTGTCGTATGCTCATAAAAGCGTTCCAAAAATATGTAATTTAAAATATTATCTGGAAACCCAGTTGCTCAACCAACTCTGTATTTTCTGAGGAAGAAATGTAGCTTCATGTATGAGAGATTAATGGACTTTTCCTTAACGTGTCCTCTTTCTCTGTATCTATATATTTTTGTGTCCTTATTTATTGTGGAAAAATCAACATTATTGTAACCTTAAAAGCACTTCTAAATTCACTTATTCTCATATTTTGCTCATCAAAAGCCCCCTATGTGACATTACAACAAACATACATGTTAATAAAAACCCAATTTCATTGTTTCATTTAAAATGATTGTGAATTGAAGAAGGGCCAGTTATAAGAATGGATGTTTATCTCACTGATATCTCTTTCGTTGTTGTTTTTCTTTTAATCGCAGATAGAGAACCACATATCGGACATTGACAACTGAGTAAGGTCAGTGTTTAATCCCTGCTTAACAGGGAATAATTCTTTATTTATATGGCATTTCATTTTGTGAATAGACTTCTAACAGAGTATGGACCACAGTACCCCTTTTCAGTGCCCAGCCACTTGTAGGCAGCAGCAGCAGCGATGCTGAAGATTGTCGGCTTATTTTCCACTTTTAAGCAGAGTGAGAAACGCTGCTCATTCTGTCCTCTAAATGGGCCGTCATTCTCTCCGTCTGGGTGCGTAAAGTAACGGCAGCTTCTCTGCAGTTATCACTGATGACTGTCTGAACCGCCACAGAGATATGACTCCGTCTCATCCGCACTCTGCATCAGACGACATTTAAATCCCCTGATTTTCTTTGTATGAACAAATAGCTTTGATAGATTTTATTTGCCTCTTGGCTGACTTTTCCTCCCCGCTGTCCTCAAGTGCCTGATAACGGGAAATCTTTTACAGCCGATCTGAACATGATGGTTAAGATGGTAGCATAATGAACTGCTTGTCCTCAGGTGCACATCTCAGTGGTTGCAGGTAATATCAAAAGCATTAGTTTATTATAATGTTGATCGCAGCCCCTACCCCTCCTCTGTTTTTCATCTTGCAGATAAAGCAGCTTATAATGTAGCTACCTTTTCTACATAGGTTTCCTGTGAAAGTAAATAGTATTAATATTAATTATCACTGCTGTCTGTCTTGTATTCTCTTTATTTTCAAGTTGGGGAAAAGGGGAGCCTACCATCCAAGAAGAAGGGAGAACAGATGCCAGCAAAACCTTCTTGATCAAGAAGGTGTATTTGAAATTTTAGGAAAGCGATGACGGGAGTGACTGACAGCAGAGGAAGAGTTTTTCAAACTTGTTTTTTCGCTTGTTTGCCTCATTAGAACATGACACTCCTGGTGTGTACTTCATCTAAATGCTGGTTATAAATATTCTTCAGACGACTGCAAGGTCACCTGCAAAGAGCAATCTATAATTGCCCTTCAAGCTGATTGCCTTTCTGGAAAGTAAGGACAATATATTGTGTTCTTAATATATTGTGGTCTGTATTGTGCATAAAAATACAGTTACGTTGTCAGTCAGAGGAATCATGAAACGCCCTCTTTTGTTGTAATGTTTGTTCTGTTTCTGTGCATTGAAAACTGTGACGAGTCGGGACGCTGGCAGCGAGAGCAGACTTGATAGTTATGTGATTTTTCTTTGTTCGTACATTTAACTGAAATGTAATTTATTCAGAATGTCTCCACACTGTTTGTCATCCGTTTTACATAAGATGCATTTTGAATTCTGTTTACATTCTGTTTATGGTTGACAAAAAATTACAATTTTTTTTACTATCGGCATGTTAAAAAATGTGGCTGTTATTATGGATCATTTGTATTCATTGCATCTGTTGTACAGCTATGGATGATAGCAGTTTTTGAAATAAACCCGGTCCTCCCAAAAAACATAAAAAAACAGCCTGCCAGAGTGTTGTGGCTTTGTTTTTTTTAAAACAATCGGGGAGGGGAAATGCAGTGTTTCTGTTTGGTTTTCTGGTCAGTAGATAAAATATTTATATTTATGTACAGCTTGAAAAACAACGTAAACAATCTTTTTAATAACCTTGTATGACACGGGAAGCCGTATTGGAAAGTTTCTACCTGACTACACTTAGGCATCTTCATCCCTACCTCCATGTTGCTTATCTGTCGAAATATCTAAACAACTATTGAATGGATTGTCATGGGACTTTTCTTCAGCCATTCATGCTCCCCTGAAGATTAAGTACAATTTTGATGTAGTTGGACTTTCATGCTATTTTATTCATTGCATTGAGCTTTTCTCACTATTTTTTTTTTTTTCTCACTATTTCTGAGTCCAATTGAACATTTTTGCCAAATTCTTTTAGATATCGCGTTCACGAGAATGCCGGACGACGAACCCGAAAACATAATACCGGCCATGGCTGTCGCTGCTGCGGAGACATAATAATCGTTAATAACAGTCACAGAGCACATTTTCTGCATTGAGTATACAGTACTTGGTATATTTTCCTGATTTTACTTACATATTTTTGCTAAAGTAACATTGTCAATGAAGGACTTCTAACGGAGTATTTTTATAACATGGTATTTGAAACTTTACTTAAGTAAAGAATGTTTCCTCCAACCCCGCAGATCTGTGTCCCTCAGGATGAATTGTAAGTTTAATTAGTCCAATACTTTAGTTTATGATTAAAAAATAATTGGCATTCCCTTCAGCCTCAGCTGTGCTTTGTGTGTAGTTCTATCAAATGCTAACACACTAGACTAAGATGATAAAGGCGGTGAACGTTTAAACCTTCTTAACATCAGTATGTAAGCATTATCATTGCTATGCCAAAGTAAAACATCACGGTGCCTCTAGTTTACTTCTGAGTAACTTTTCTCTCCACCTTCAAACCATTTTCGAAACAAAAGGGAGTGGCAAGGTGAAAATAAAGTTGATGCTAAATGTACACTCCACTCAAGTTTAATTATAGCATTCATATACATTAGTCCTATTCTATAATTGGCTTTGAGAATATTCATCTATTTCTTTTTTAGTACATTGCCCTTGAAAACTACATGCTTATGAGCGATAAGTGGTGGTGGGGCAGCAGCAGATGGCATTTCTAATTCACTCACTTCATTAGCGCCAGATCATCATTTTCACAGGTTAAGGAGGGCCATTGGCTGGTTTTCAGGTATAATTGGCTCTATCATCGCTGGCTAGCAGCCAGTGAGTACAATGATCAGTCATGCAGCTCCTCTAATACGGACAATGTTCAGCGTGTGATGAATTGAATCAATCACCGGCCTTTCACTGCTGGAGGAGTTATGCGTATAAGAGGGGTCAGGATCTTAATACATCTGTGATTAGCCATACTTGAGCGAGGATACACAACTTGCAGCAAGCTTTGTTTCACAGGCCTTTAAATCAAAGATGGAGCTAATGTTCAAGTTTTATAAATTATATCTTAGTGAAAGCCAGCATAAAGAGCTATTTACTGTATATTTGACAAAATGGCAAAGTCTTCCATCATCAGCTAAAGTCCTTCTAACTCTTTGTTCTTGGTCAAAGTTGATTATTTCACTTTGACTCAAATTACTTTTCCCTTCACACTATTTACTGGATACAATTTGTCACATATTTGTTTGTGTGCTTGACACTTTCAAGAGTTTAAAAATAATTATTTTGTATAACTTTTTCGTAGAGGCCAAAATCCAATATTGATTCTCTATTGGCTTTTTTTTCTTTCTTTTTTTCAATTCTGGTTTGGAGATTCCTATTAGTGTTGGTTTAATTAAATAGACTGTGCCCTTAAAGATTCTACTGTATGGTTGTGAGGCATCATAGAAAGATAGACAATAAATAATTAACAAATAAATAAACAACAGAGATCATATTCAGTTGTTCACACAAATGGCAAGAGGAAGAGCAAAGAGTCATTTAAGTTGAAGACTAGAATGTTATGGTTGCTTTGAGATAAAGGCATCATTTCTATTATACACAAACATCTTTTCTTTAGCAGGCATAAAATATTGTGTTTTTCATGCAACGATTGGTTGCATGAAACGCTGGAAACGGTCTGTTTCTCTCTGTATTTGCCCGATTTTTTAATGTGCGATTGCTGCCAGGAAGGGGGGTACAAATTATGAGGGAAGCAGCTGGTGCTTAAAAAGAATCAAGAATGAAGATGTGAAAAGCTGGAAGCAAACCCATATGTCCTTTATTTTAACTGATGAGTAAACACAAAGAAACAATGTCAGTTAAACACAAGGAGTGAAGGGAGCAGGTACAAAAACATAGTTATGATGTGTGAGTGATTAACAACATGGGGCTGAAATTAGCAAATTTATAATAAATGCTGTAAAACTTCAAATGTATATGGTTTACATAATGGAGAGTCAATGTTTGTGTATTTTCTCTTTTTTAAAGTTTACCCCTAGTGCAGTAAAAAAACCAATATCATTATCCCAAGTATATACAGAGTACACCCAGTGGTGGAAAGTAACAAGTAGGAAAATGTATATGTTTTGTTACTTCTACTCCACTACATCTCAGAGTAAAATATTGTACTTTTTACAAAACTGCATTTGATTTATAAATTAGCTACTATTTATTTCACAGATATAGATTATTATTAAAAAATATTATCAACAAATAAACTATGATATATTATTATAGATTAAGCTACCAGCAGTATATAAAGGAGGCTAACTAGACGCATCACTATAATCCAGTCATATAATAGGTCAATATATGATTATGAAGTGAGCCATTCTGCATAATGAGTACTTTTACTTCTAGGCATACTTTGAGTATATTTTGATGCTGATACTTTTGTGTACTTTTAGCTAAATACAGTTTTGAATGCGGGACTTTTACTTGCAACAGAGTATATTTCTACACTGTGGTATTAGTACTTATCTGAGTTATTCTTCCTCCACTGGCTATGACGCGTCTGAACACAGATGCCCCGGATGTTACCGTTGACTACGTCATATAAACAGGACGTACGATGCTAAAGGCGGTTATTTCAATTATCCGACAGTAAAAGAGGCTCAAAACAAATAAAAACAAACGTTTTAACGAACGCACGAATCCTGGCATTGGCTGTTAGAAAATACAACACAACACTTGTTGGCTGTTCCGGCTTCCGTAACTGTTGTTTGTAAATGTTAACCTCCTGAGCTAGGTCGCGAGTAAACTTTTGCTAGGATGCTAGGTTAACTTAGCTAAAGGTTTTCGGGATGTGTTTGCAAGTTCCATGAGCCTGTAGACTACTTAACGGTTACACAGTCTACATTACAAACGTGTAATTAACGGTAACATAACTGGCTGCATGTCGTCGTTATGGGAGACAAGGAGCTGAGTCTTCTTGACAAGAATATAACAAGGTAACGTCATTGTTTTTGTTTATTTTATTCACTGGACACATGTTCACATACTGAGTTGTATGAAACGTTGAATTCATTAAATTTGCCTTCAAAACATTAGTAAAAGTGCAGATATATTTATATAGCTGTTATACTTTTACCTCAGTGGAGCCTTATAAAATACTTAAAACAATCTGAGATAGAGAAGTCATTCACATAGTTCATGTCCACATTAAGCTCACAACCTGTAAGAGGGAAGTAGATTTTTGTATATGTTACCTTGATTTTTTTTTTACACTTTTTTTAAGTAGGTCTGGGCACAAAATGTCCCTTTTTTTCGTCCATGGTGAATCTGTCGTTTCACCTTGTTTCTTTCTGCCTAGTTTGCTGGATGTCCCCCTGAGTCCCACTGTAACATCACTCAATCTGCACTGCAATCACATCCCCGGGATCAAGGGCCTGACCTCCGCTTGGCACCTATGCCACTTGGACCTTTCCTCCAATCGCATTTCTAAGATTGAGGGTCTAAGTTCCCTCACTTTCCTGAGGACTTTAAATTTATCCTGTAACTTAATCACCAAGGTTGAAGGTGAGTCTTTTGCCACAGTTTTACTCTGGCGATAAATGTTTCAGCTTTGTGGGTGTTCTCCAAGTAATAATTCTTCATTACAGACTCTTTGAGCTGTGAAATCATTCAGTTGTTAATGTCCCCTCCCTTTACCTCAGGACTGAATGGCCTTGTGAACTTAACAAGATTAAACTTGTCCTACAATCAGATAAACAACCTCACTGGTGAGTTGAACACCGACTGACCATTGTTGTGTCATTCTTTCTCTGCGCTCAAATATAAACATGAACAAGTGACTGACATGTCAATACCCTTGATTCCTGATGTCTTTTTTTTAGGCTTGTTGTATCTTCATGGCACGGAATACAAGCTGAAGCACCTCAGTCTTCACGGCAACGATCTGGACAACATCGATCACCTCCTGCAGTGCCTGCTGGGATTGCAAAGTTTAAGAGAGGTCACTTTGAGCCAGGACGGCAGAGACAACACTGTGTGTAGGTCACCAGGTAAGTTGTAACTATTGGTTTGACTGTAATATTACTGTAATATTACCTGTAGATATTTACTCAGGTAAACTTTCAGTCTTTCACCTTCACTTCCAGGAGTATATATATCCATCTATGCCCATCCTCATGCACAGCCTACATACCTATGTGTACTTCTACTTCAATCTGTCAGCAATTTTCTTATTTTCCTTTCTTACTCATCCCACACTCTTATTAAACACAAAAATATGCTCATTAGAACCAAGCAAGCTTACTTTTACGTTATTCCCATCAAGAAGGGAAAGGACTGGAGCATGAAACCGAAGTGAAGTCATACAAAATATCAATTAGGGGTGATACATTTAATTAATTTATTCAAAATTTGATAGAATTTGTCTTTTTGGATCCTCAAAGAAAAAGTCAACCTTTCCATTTTGAATATTTTACTCACAAAAAAAACATGCAACAAGCTTGTAGTTGTTTGTTTGGGAGGGATGTATTTCCAATTTTTTAAGACGTATA